AGACTGGTGCAACCACTGTGGAAATCAGTGTGGAGATCCCTAAGAAAACTAGGACTGGAGGTCCCGCTTGACTTTGCTATTCCCCTTCTGGGTATCCTCCCGAAAGAATGAAAGGTATCACACCACAGCGACATATGTACACCCACGTTTACAGAGGCACAGTTTGTAATAGCTAAATCTTGGAGACATTCCAAATGCCCATCAACCGATGAATGGGTAAAGATTTTCTTTTTTATATACAGTAGAGTACTACTCTGCCATAAAGAAGGATAAGCTTGAGACATTTCTAGCTAAATGGATGGACCTTGAGACGATGCTCTTAAGTGAAATAAATTGGTCACACATGTAAACGCTGCATTGTTTTTCTGGTGTGAGAAACTGAAAGTGTAAATAAGGAACAAAATGTGTAACACACACTGGGAAATAGGAAGAAAATGTTCAAAGACAAAGAGAACTGGTGGGGAGGGGGAAAGGAAAGAAGGGACAAGAAGAAAAGGAATGCAAGGAAAAAAAGAGAAACAAGGCTTGTGTGTGTGTGTGTGTGTGTGTGTGTGTGTGTGTTACCAGGAATCGAACTCAGGACCTCGCACTTGCCAGGCAGGTGCTGTGCCACAGGACTATATCCCCAGCACCAAATCTTTTGTAAATAAGGAGGGAAGAGGGGTTAAAGTGGGGAGGAGGGTGGGGAAAAAGAGGAAGCAAGATTTCCCTGCAATCCATAGCATCTGACCAATAGGCGCGTCCCTGCCAAGTCTTCCTGAGCACAGGAAGGAGTCCATCAGGAGCCTGGACTCCCAGCCACACTGCTGAGGTTCAAAGTCCTGCCAGGTATGGAGTCAGGGAAAGCTCGCAGTAACTCTGAGACTACTGCTGTCCCTCTTTCAGAGGGGGAAACTGGCGGAGTCACACGGCTGCCCAAAGTCACACAGTGAATGTGACAATTAGCGGCACAGCCAGAATTTAAAGCTCAGCAGTCTAGGCGGTTACCCCAAATGATTTCCGCAATTTCCCCTAAAGACACATGGCTTACAGGCTTGGTCTGTGGTGCGACGCTGTCAGGAGGTGGCAGAGCCTAGTGGCAGAAAGTCAGGTCACCAAGGACGTGTCCCACAAAGGGTTATTGAGACTCTGGCCCCTCCTTTTCTCTTTTGCTCCCAGCTGCCGTGTAGTGACAGATCTAGCCCCCCACATGCTCCTGCCAAGATGTTTAGCAGCACCAGAGCCCAAAGCAACAGTTAAGGAGCTGCAGACTGAAACCTCTGACACCGTGACCCAAAAACCCTTTTCCTCTTTCAAGGTGATTATCTCAAGTATTTTGTCACAGCGACGGGAAGCTAACTCACACATCCACATGCCAAACTGAAGCTGTTTTGGTTCTCTTGAAGACTCCTACAGGAGCAGGCTAAGGGATCAGTACTGGGCTGACAGTGGGCCAAGGTGATGCATAGAGTGTAAATCTGCCTTGCTAGGGCTGTGAAATGCTTCTGACAGTCACAGACAGTAATGTGTGGATCTCAAGAAAGTTTATTAAATTTGTAAACAGGAAAAAAAAAAGTGACTTTCTCGAGAAAAGACTTGGCGCTATCTAAAACTTTCATACAGGTCCAGGTATGGTGGCACACACCTGTGATGCTTGGGAGGCTGAGGCAGGAGGACTGTCATGAGTTTGAAGCCAGACTGGGCTATATAATGAGTCCAAGGCCGGTGTGAACTACATAGTAAGACCCTGTCTCAAAAAGAAAAAAGAAATTAAAACTTTATACAGACTTTTTTATATGCAGTTCTGACTTTGTTACTAGGCCGGCTCTTTAGCCAAGTTTTTTGGAACCGAAATGAGTAAACTAAAAAACAAAATGTTTATCATCAGGAAAACGAAGGGTTGCTATAACGACAGAACAAGCCATCACAACATTCTTCCCTTTCCATCTGTCATGCCTGGGCTTGTCACAACATTTAGAAACACTCAGCGCCCACCCTAATGAGAAAAATATGATTCTAAATTTGATAGATTTTTAACCAATCTGGGTTTGGTGCATGCGTGGTCCTGTGTGGGGGATGCAGGTGGCAGCTGAAACTTTGGCTGAAGGTTTGTTCCGAGGACTTCTGGAGTTTTCCAGGTCCGGAAACTTGCAGCCAGCCACCGTCCCCCAAGCCCTTGCTCACTAAGGCCTAGCCAGAGAACCCCTGCCCTCCTGTGGGTACTTGGCCATAAATCAAACACAGCGAGGAGGGTCCAGATTCTCCTGGCTCGAGGAATCTGAGGACCTCAGAGCTGAAAGACACTTTGGCATCCCCAGCCACACCTGCTTTACCAGGGCCCCCGCTAGAAGGGCAAAGGCGACCGCTCTACCTGACTGCTGAGCTCGGAGGAGTCCTGGCAGTCTGTTCTCCAAGCCTTCCCTCCTGTGAGGTGTGATGAGAAACACAACGGATGTCTACATTTGGAAGAGTTTATTACAGTAAAAACGAACTCTCCTCAAAATCTTTCCTCTTCCTTTAAACACACGTATCCCACCACTCTTGCTGCTTTCTGAAGCAGTTCTGTAAGTCCTCTTTCGTGAGTGTCTTTAGGTGCACTGCTGTGGCTGCCTTGATGTCCTGAATCACTTCAAAACATTTCCCTTTCATCGTCATGTTGACTTGCCAGATCCAGTGAGAAGGGTGGATGAGGACCCTGCATCATGGTTTTAAGAGGCCGTCATTTCCCTGGATGGCGCTCAGGAGCAGCATCCACCAGATTTCTGACCACAGCTCCTAAAGACACTCAGAAAAGAGCAACTCCAGAACTGCTGCAGAAAGTGACAAGAATGATGGTATCAGAGCATTCAAAGTGAGAAGAGTATTTTGAGGGTGATAACGGCAACGTGTCTTTGACTGTAATAAAATGTTTCATTTAAACACTCACTGTGGGGGCTGGGGATTTAGCTTAGCGGCGCAGCACCTGCCTGGCAAGCGCAGGGTCGTGAGTTCGATTCCCGGTACCGGAAAAAAACAATAGCAACAAAAAATAAACACTCACTGTATATTTCCTTGCACATCTATGTGGAGAGATGGGGCCCTGAAGCCTGCCTGTTACCCACCCCGAGACCACTGCGGCCCAGCCAGTTCCCCCGGTCTTCTGCAGAGTCAGGCAGTCTCTTCCCGGAGCAAAAGGGCTGAACCTTTGTGTGGGGACTCACAACAGCACCCACGGGACAGGGCTGGGGACAAACGTCAGACCTGAGGTTGTCCCCAGACAGAGGAATGCCCAGTCGCCGCGGGTGACTAGGATGGATGGGCCTCGCATCGAGGTTGGAAAGGGTATCAACATGCAATTACAGCACTCTACACACAAGTGCACGCACTCCCTATCACCGCTGTACCATGGCCAAGCTCTGGCTCCAGAGGGCGCTCAAGCGACTCGCGTTCCTGTTACCTGCTCCTCCTCCCAAACCATCTCGGCAGCACGGCCCACAGCTGCCACGTGACAACGGCCCGCACCCACAGCCAGCACTTGCTCCTCTCCTGGGCATGCGGTGTTGGAAGAGGCTATCTCCAGGGCAGAGCCAGCGTGTGCAAGGTGGGTGAGCAGACAGCTGCCAAATCCTCCTGCTGGTCCCTCAGGGTACCCTGTCACCTCCACAGATGGCCCCAGACAGGGCAGGAGGGGCTGGGGACTGCCGAGGCCCAGCAACCCCTTTTGCCTGCGTTCCTTGCAAGAGTAGCTCCGTGGCAGGGACTGGTGCAGCCTCCGCCTGGCCACACCTCATCCGCTCCCAGAGCCTGGGTCCTGTGAGCCACCCCCTCGACTTCCCCTGTACCTGCAGAGAGGGACGTCTGTCTGTGACAAGCCCCGCCTAGGGACACAGAGGGCCTTCGGGAGAATGAGGACAGTCACTGCCGCGCTGGGATGCGCAATCCGGTCATGAAGGGTTACTACTCATGCCGCCGCCGGGCACAGCCTGCAAACTCCCCTCCTGACCACCCCCGCCCCACTTAGGAGCTGGAGGGCTGCCCAGCACCCGCAGCAGCTGCAGGCTGAGACGGCCACTTCCGGAGCCGAGTAACTGCACGGGAGCACGGCGCGGGTGACATTTAGAAGCGAACGGTGACCTCTATGACAGGGTGGGGGCAGCAGGAACCGGCCCAAGGGCTGCCGTCCAGAGGGCAGCATCACAAAGGCGACCAGGCGGCCGCAGTGAGGAGCGGGCTGCGTGCCACTCCTCCCCGCCCCACTGGGGCCCTCGTCTTTCCTCTTTTGTTTTCCAGCTCAGATCTCTTTCCTCCCCAAAGCACTGTGCAGCGTGTTTGTCTCTCGCAGCGTTTTCTTCCCAGATGAGCTCGCAGGTGGCCCTTCCTGGGCTGCGGCCTCCATGCCCGCTTCGTGACCTTGGCCCTGAGTGCAGTGGGCTCCGGGCCGGAACTCTTGAGCGCGTGCGAGGCAGGGGAGTCTTCCTCGGTGAGGAGATCAAAGCTCACCCCCTGGGGCGCACTACTCCTGCAGCCCCTTCAGGGTCTTCTCTGATTTGTGATGTGGCCTTTGCACACACAGACTGGCCCTACGACACCCTCCTGGGCTATGAACAGCGTGTGTGGCCGTGTGTGACCTGGTTGGTTGCTTTATTTATTTTGGTTTTTTGAGACAGGGTTTCACTACTATAGTTCAGGCTGCCCTTGGCTTCAAACGCACAGCGATGGTCCTGCCTCAGCCTACCCAGTGCTGGGATTACAGGGTGCACCAGCGCATCTGCCGGAACAAGCGGTCACTAACCACCCTCAGCACTCGCTGTACGGGGATCGTCTTACTCCCTCGTCCCCTCCCTGGGTGGCGGACTCCGGAAGTCTGTATCGTCCGTCACCTCCTCACAGCTAACAACTCGCCACCCCGTCTACCCCATGGCTGCCCCGTGAGCCTCCGTCCTCAGCGCCTGTCTAGTTCCCCCCCATGGGACAGGGCGCCCTGACCACAGCCGCCACACCGCGGCCGTCCGCGGCTGAGCAGATGACGCGCCGTACCGTACCTGAGCTTGTCCGCGATGAAGATGACCCTCCGCTCCAGGAGCAGCGAGGCAAACACGCACACCAGGTGGCGGACGCTGAGCGACGAGAAGAGCGACTCGAAGTCCACGTGCTCCAGCCGGGAGTCAAGCGGGCGGCACAGCTCGATGACCTGCGGGGCAGCAGGACCGCTGTGGAGGCGCCGCCCTCGGCCAGGCCTCTCCCAGGGGCTCCTGGGCTCCGTGTCCTCCGCGGGGCAAGAGGACAGACGAGAAGATCCAAAGGGAGTCGGGGAGGACGGGTGCCGGAGACCCAGAAGGGGTGCGTGGGGCGGGGAAGCAGTTTGAGTGGCAGCGGCTGAGTGGCAGGGTCCTGAGCAGTGCCCCCAAATGGCAGTGGGCCCCCCAGGCCAGCGCCCCGTGACTGCTGAAGACAGCCCTCGCCCAGAACCCGGGGTTCCTGTGTCTCAAGAGGGACCGTTAATCAAGGGCTGGACAGGAACCACGGGGCCTAGCACACCAGCAGCTGCCCCAGCAGCACACCCAGGACCCGTCCTTCAGCCGCACTGCCTTCTTCTTTTCTGTTTTGTAGGGGATGAAACCCAGGGCCTGGCACAGGCTAAGCACGTGCTCTAACTTTGAGCAACCCCTCCTTAGCAATTAAACGTTCATTCATTCATAGATAGTATCCCTATGTAGCCCAGGCTGGCCTCAAACTCGTAGCGATCCTCCTGCCTCAATCTCCCGAGTGCTGGGATGACAGGCGTGCGACACCATGCCTGGGCCCTAGCAAGCACTTCCTCAGGGCATCCCGTGCCGGATACTGAGCTGCTCCTGAAGCTCCAGCCCAGCCCCAGCCCTCGTGTCTCTGGCAGTGGCCTGGGCTCCAGGGCTGCTGGAACTGGCGATCCAGGCTGGATGGGCTCGGTCCCTGGCGTCCACAGGGCCAGAAGAAGGGAATAGAAAGGACAAAAACAAACTTCATCATGTCAGCCCAGCCAAGGAGAAGAGCTTCCAAGTCTGAGATGAACAAAAGTAGCACCCGAGCTTGTCTCTCCGTCAGAGAATCTGTTTTACACTACAAAGTTGTGCAGGTGAAAACCAAAATGTAAGCAGGCTGAAATAACATTTATCAATGGCTGGCTTGTTTTTTTTTTTAAAAAAAATGCGTGTGTGTGTGTGTGTGTGTGTGTGTGTGTGGGTGTGAGACTGGGGACTGAACCTGGGACCTTCATCCTGAGAGATAGGCCCACCTTTTTTTTCTATTTTTTGAGCCAGGATCTTGCTAAATCACTAAGTTGTCCAGGCTGGGCTCAAACTTGTGATCCTCCTGCCTCAGCTTCCTGAGCACTGTGATCACTGCATTTGGTGGCCTGCTGACAGCCGGCCCTCTGCCCACTGAGACTCTGCTGTCTGCGCCACTGGGCCCTGGGAGAGGAAGGGAACCTGAAGCTCACCTCGGTGCCTGACCCTGGCAGGAAGTTCTTGACCACGATGGTCTTACCCAGGGCAGGGAAAGGGGCTTCCATGACGCTCCTCATGAGGGGCTGCACGAGGGCCGGAGAGATGCCACGTCTCTTCTCCACCTCGTCCAAGATCTGGAAGGGTCAGGAAAGCCGCTCAGCCTGGCCAGCTCCCGAGGACGAGGGCCTATGTGTGGCTCCTTCCCAGTGAGGGAGCTGCAGCTCTCTCAGCCACAGGCTCTGGGGCTCTTCAAGTTACTGCCCCGCCCTGCTCCCCCTACGCGTCCATGCCCTCTGCCGGTGACTCTGGCAGGGTGCAGGATGGCCCTGCCCCTTGGACTTTGGCCTTGGCAGGTGACTAACACGTTTTCTTTTTTCAGTACCCAGGATGGAACCCAGGGCCTCACACAGCCTAGTCAAGTATTCTATACCTAATTTCTTTCTCTTTTTTGAGACAGGGTCTTGCTATGTAGTTCAGGTTGGCCTTGAACTTGTGATCCTCCTGCCTCAGCCTCCCGAGGGCTGGAGTCACAGGTGTGTGCCACCAGGCCTGACTTCTACACCTAACTTCTGAGATCGGCTCCACACAGGACAGCACTTGTTTCTTATACACCAATCCAGAACACAGGGGTGACCGAGCTGGAATCAATACGGTGATTCCCTTGTCTCGATACTGTCTCGCTTTCCAGGAAAGAGGTTCAAATTATAGTAGTATTTTAATGAACTTGTACACCTAAATACACATACATACATCAATCACAGGGGCCTTTTTTTCTAGCAGAAACTAATATGACACAAGACAATACTAAAGGAAGGAAACGAAACCCCAGGAATATTCTGGGGGGATCCGCACCTCCCTCCCTCAGCTCCATTTCCCAGCCTCTCCCTCTGCTTCTTCTTGGAGCCAGCCCTCACCCGCTCCTATTTCCTCCTGGAGGAGGGGAGGGCTGGGAAGGCGAGGGGGCAAACAGGTGGACAACAAGACTGCAGAGAACCAGGATTGTGGCGTGTGCCGGGTTCCTCTCGGGCCCAGCCCTTCCTTCCCTCTCCCTCTCTTCTCCTTTTTCTTGGCACCAAGGATTGAACCAGGGCCTCAAACTCACAGCAATTCTCCTGCCTCAGCCTCCCAAATGCTGAGATTACAGCACTACACTGCATCCCCAGCCCTTTTCTTCTTACTATTTTATTTTAAGACAGAGTCTCAGTAAGTTGCTAAGTAACCAGTAAGCTTCCTGCCTCAGCCTCCCAGTGCGGGATGACAGGTGCGCAGCACACCTGGCTTCGCCCTGCTTTCTCTGAAGTCCAGGCTCTCACCTTTGAGAAGAGGCTGAAGCAGCCCAGGCGGCTCACAATGCAGTACACCTCAGGCAGGCGCTTCCCTTTGCCTCCAGGCTGGAGAGAGACGCAGGCCCTCGTGAGCAATAACAACACACGGATGCAGAGACCCAGATGCTCTCGGGGCTATCGCACGCCATTCCCACACATGACTTTTGTTTTTTTGAGATGGAGTAGTCTCCCTATGTAGTTCAGGCTGGCCTTCAACTCAGTAGGTAGCCCAGGCTGACCTCAAACTCTCAGCAGTTCTCCTCCTTCAGCCTCTGGAGTGCTGGTAGCTCCTCCTAAGGAGTTATTCTGACATCGTTGGAATGGTAATTCCAAATGAGAAGTTATTTTTTTTGGTGTGCCAGGAATCGAACTCAGGACCTTGTGCTTGCCAGGAAGGCACTTGTGCCACTGAACTATATCCCTGGTCCTGAGAAATTATTTCTGAAGATTTTTATTTTATTTATTTATTTTTTGAGACAGGGTCTCACTATGTAGTTCAGGCTGGCCTTGAACTTGCCTTGTGTAGCCCAGGCTGGCCTCAAACTCACGGCAATTCTTCTGCCTCAGCCTCCCAAATGCTGAGATTACTGGCATGTGTCATTACACAGGACACTAACGATCTTTTTTGGAAACTGACTTTTTTTTTTTTTTTTGTCTTTTTGAGACAGGGTCTCTTTATGCAGTTCAGGCTGGACCTGAGCTCACTTTGGAGCCCAGGCTGGTCTTGAACTCGCAACAATCCTCCTGCCTCAGCCTCCCAAGTACTGAGATTATAGGCATGCACCACAATGCTGGGCTTGGAAACTGACTTTTAAGCTAATTTTCAAAGCAAAAAGGAAATCGACCTCAGTACCTTTAAGCCTAAAGTAATTTGAATGACACAATTTATCAACCTGCTTAACTTTTCAATCATTACCCATGCTTTTTACCTGCTATTGAATTCAACAGATATTTACTGAATGCCTACTATGTGCCACACATTACTTGACTCTTAAAATTTTTCAGCCTACTTCTTTTTTTTGTTTGTTTTTCTCTGGCACCAGGAATCGAACTCACGACCTTGTGCTTGCCAGACAGGTACTGTGCCACTGAGCTAAAGCCCCAGTCCCTTTTCAGCTTATTTCTGTTTTTTGTTTTGTCTTTCTGAGACAGGGTCTTGCTATGTAGTTTAGGCTGGCCTTGAGCTCACTTTGTAGCCCAGGCTGGTCTCAAACTTGCAACAATCCTCCTGCTTCAGCCTCCCGAGTGCTGGGATTACAGGCATGTGCCACCACGCCTGGCATCAGCCTATTTCTAAAGCTCAAACTCTGAATGGAAAGAGATTTCCACTACAAAACATTTTCAAAAAAACAGGCCTCAAAAACGAACAAACAAAAAGTCCCAGGCCCTAAAATGCTGCAGTGCGATCTCTTCCTCAGAATCATTTCCTGGCTCTGGCAGGCCACCTCCAGAGGCGACACTGGAGCCGCCGCAGCCGTTCTGGGTGCTCCCAGTAAAGAATCCGGCCAGGGAGCACTTTGTATTAGACACTTGGCTTAAGGAGACAAAGGCATTTAATTTGGAGGTAAAACAACAGAGAAAATATTTTCATCCTAAAGGAAACAGAATTACTTCCACCTACCAATAAAATGCAAGTGAGGCCCCAACCTTTCTTTTAAGTGGTTATCTATTTACAAATCGGTTTTTTTTTTTTTTTTTTTTTTTTTTTGGTCCTTTTGAGAAAGGGTCTCACTGAGCAGTTCAGGCTGGTCTTGTTTTTATTTTATTTTATTTTTTTTGCTCTTTTTGAGACAGAGTCTCTCTGTGCAGTTCAAGCTGGCCTTGAGCTCACTTTGTAGCCCAGGCTGGCCTCGAACTTGCAAAGATCCTCCTGCCTCAGCCTCCCGAGTGCTGGGATTACAGGCATGCGCCACCATGCCCGGCTTACACATAGCATTTATAAATACTATTTATTTATAAGTATTTATTTATTTATTCATGAATAAATTTATAAAAGTAGACTTTCTGCATATGTGGTTCTTTATTTATTTATATTTTGTGGGATTGGCAATTAACCCAGGGCCTTCACACTGAGCTACATCCACATCCCTAGGCCTTTTATGTTTTTTTCTTTTTTCTTTTTTTTTACTTTTTTTCTTTTGTTTTTTCGTTTTTGTTCTGGACAGAGGGTCTTGCTAAGTATGCAGCTCAGACTGGACTTGAACCTGCGATCCTCCTTCCCCAGCCTCCCAGAGTGCTCGGGTCACGGGTGTGTTCATGCGTCAACACACCCACCTCTTTCTCTGCATTTTTACCCGCCTGCTTAACCCGCCACGCCTCCTGTTCCTCTCACTGGGTGAAACCGAGTCTCAAGGGACCTGAAGCCAGACTGGCCGCCCAGGAGCCGTACTGACCAGCAGCCTCCGGCAGTACCCGAACCGCCTGCTCCCGTCTTCTCCGGTGAGGACAAAGGAGAACGTCTCACTGCGGGTGGGAGGACACAGGCGTCACAAGGTGATGATCAAGGGTGCCCAGCCTGGTGGCGAGGAGGGACAGGAACAGGTCGCTCCCCAGCCCTCCGCTAAGTGTGCACCGCAGCTGCGAGGAAGCGGCAGGGAGGACGGGGCAAGCATGCCAGCGGCCCGAGAGGAAATGGGGTTCCCACCCCCAACTCTGTCGCCTGGGCCACCTGCCACACGAAGCACAGCATAGCTTCACCGTCACGGCTGAGGACAGGACCGCGGCCCTGCATGGTCACGGTGCCTCCGACACCCAGGCTGCAGGACAGCAGGGCGCCAGCGTCTGACGCCGCACAGAAGCACAGACGGAGACTGGGCCCAGCCCGGCGCGGCTCCGAGGCCCCGCCTCCTGCCAGGCTAAGCATCGCCTGGGTGAGGCTTGGGGGACACAGGCGCCCAGGCTGAGCAGGAGCCCGGGAGAGCTCGCGTTCACCCTGCAAGGAGACTCTCCTCTCAGAGGTCTCCGGTTTGTTCTGCGGTACTGGGGATCGAACTCGGGGCCTTCACCCTGATCGACATCTCTAGCCCTTTTGCTGTTGTTTTATTTTGAAAGAGGGTCTCACTAAATCCCAGGTTAAGCTGCCTAGGCTGGGCTTGAACTTGTAACTATCCTGCCTCATCCTCCGAAGTGCTAGGATTACATGGGGCCCGAATCAGAGCAGTTTCACAAACGCAGCCTGGGCAGTGTGCAGGCGAGGGCTCATCGGGATTGCTGCAGCAGCGCTGACTTCTGCGGGCCTCTCTAGCCTCACCTCGGTCACTGGGCAGGCTGGGGGGGGGGCCGGCACGTACCTGGTGAACTGCTGGACAGGGCTCCAGTCCCTGGCGTCGGGGAAACAGAACTGCGGAATGGCCTTCAGCTGGTCCTCAGCCTCCCGCGTGAACTTGAAAGACCTTTCCAGCTGCAGAGGGGGGCGAGGAGGCTCGAGAAGGAGCCCCGCACGGGACAGTGAGGCCGATGGTGGCGGGGGCCCCCCTTCCCACGCTGTGACTGTCCCTTAACCTCCCTAAAGGGCTGGTGGCTCAGTCTGCAGGGCATTTTCCCCCACAGTAGTTCCAGCTACGGTCTTTGGGGGAAGTTAAAAAAAAAAAAAGTTTTGTTTTTTGTTTTTTTGAGACAGGAAAAGAAGCCAGCCTACCATGGACTTGAGGAATACTACCGTGTGGAGGACCGGGAGAAATTAAAAAGTCTGACTTAGAGATGGCATTTAAACCACAAGACTGCTTACATGGTATAGGAACAGAATTTTTGTTCTAATTTCACCTATTTTTTTTTTTTCTTGAGCTATCTGTTCTGTTTCGTTCGTGGGTGGTACTAGGGGTGGAATTCGGGGCCTTGCTCATGCTAGGCCAGTGTGACAGTTCTTCTGTTTAGTATAGATCTCCAACTAGAGAGGCAGAGCACAGACTGATCTGATTGACTTCAACTTCAAAAGCCACCTCCGGCCTAATCCCCAGGCAGACCAAATTCAATTCAGGCCGCAGAATACCACGAATGCTGCGGCCGGGACGGCTCAGTCCGGGAAACGCAGTAACCGTGCATAGATTCAAAGATGCTCCTTGATGGTCTTTGAGTTTTTCCTCCAAATAGTCACTACTTTTTTCTATACCATAGTCTGTCTTTATGTGTGGTACAGAGGAGCCCAGGGGTCCAGGATGGTCTTTGAGTTGACAATTCAGTAGCTCAGTGTGTTCCTAAAATGCTTTTTTCCCCTTTATTATTGGGGATTGCACTTAGGGCAAGGCCTCTGTGAGTTAGATCCTCAGGCCTTTTTATTTTTCATTTTGAAGAGGGTCTCACTAAGTGCTTAATTGCCCAGGTTGGGCTCAAAGTCACAACCCTCCTGCCTCAGCCTCCCAAAGAGCTAGGATTACGGGAGTGCACGACCACAGCCAGCAGAAGCACTAACTTCTGAGCTCTCTTGGAGTGTTTTGGAGAAAACCAGGTACTAGATGCACATCATTATAGAAAGTAGTCCTGAATCACCAGAGTGAAGGCCCCAAATCATGGAAAACATAAAACAAGGAACAATGACATCTTCCCGTAGGGGAGATGAATTCAAGGACTTAAGAGGTGACCTCAGACAGAAGCAAGTTCAAGCAGTTTTCCACATGGCCATGTCTCCATGAACTGTCACGAAGATAAATGTGTGATACTGAAAAAAAATTTCTTTTGAGATTAGGTCTTACTATGTCACCCAGGCTGGTCTTAACCTCACAATCCTCCTGCCTCAGTCTCCTGAGGAGCTAGGATGACAGGTGTGTGCTACCAGGCCTGGCTAGATTTGTTCACACGACAGAGCTAACTGAGGGCCATTTCCAAGGTCCTAGACCCCAGGTCTCCCTCACCCTCCCCGACCTTCAAGTCCACAGCCCCGCCAGGCGACCTCAGCAGTGCGGCTGTGCTTGGGTGGCCCCGGCCCGCCGGTACCTTCAGAGGGAACTGCTGCGTGAGTTCCGGCACGTAGGCGGCCCCGGCCTGCTTCCTGTGCAGGGACACGACCACGAAGTACTCAAAGAGCTGCCTCTCCTGGCACTCGAGGAGGTCACGGGCTGGGTAGCGAGGGGCCTGCTTCAGGCGGGACTGCACATTGACCAGGCGCCGGCTGTGAGCTGGGGACAGAAAGGGAGGTGGGAGGGACCTTGAGCTGGACGCCACCTCCTGCCAGGGGAACCACAGAGACACAGAGGCTCCCGTGAGGCTCCCCGAGGTGTGCCCAACCTAGGGAATCCCCTGGGCCCCTTGCCAGACCTCAGGGGGAGCCCGTCCTGGGGCAGCCCAGGGCGCCAGCAGGCTGGGAACTCACCTCATCTGTCCTGGGTGGGGACGCTCATGCCTCCCCTTGGTCATTTCTGTTCCCAGGATGTGACAAAATCGAGTATGGGCTTTCGGACATGGGGGTGTTGTAAACATCCGTGTGACTCAATGGCCAAGCCCAATGGACCTGGGAGCCTCCACCTCACTTCATCCTGGGGTGACTCAGGTCCCTGTCACCCCACCTGGGAGGGCCAGGCTTACTCTCTCTGGCTTCTCCCCAGGGTCTGAGAAATCTCAGAAAACCCACAAAAGCCCGAACCAGGGTCCCCAACTGTTAGGGACAAAATTTCAACAACTTCACCTGACAGGTGAGGCCTAGAGGTCCTGAGTTCCTAAGAGAGATCCTAGGGGTGGGGGCACAGGCCTGTGACAGTCATCTCAGGTGGGCATTAGATGACGCCATCTGGGCAGGATGGTGCGTAAGCAGAAGGCTCTCGAGGGAGGGCTTCTGTGGCCAAAGGCAGGCAATGGCCAGCTGGAACCAGTTCAGTTGGCCGGAAGTGGATAAGTCATGAGTGGACGTGAAGCTATAGGTGTTGGCAGTAACTGCAGTGGCCAACAAGGGTGCCAACGCAGAACTCAGGAAGAATGGGCCTCTTCCTCCTTTTTTTTTTCTTTGAGATGCATGGAATGGTTTGGTTTCTTTTTCTTTTTGGTCTTTCTTTGAGACAGGGTCTCGCTATGCAGTTCAGGCTGGCCTTGAGCTCACTTTGTAGCCCAGGCTGGCCTCAAACTTCCAACGATCCTCCTGCCTCAGCCTCCCGAGTGCTGGGATTACAAGCGTGTGCCACCACGTCCGGCTGGTTTCATTTATAACTCCATAAAAGCCCATTTTCCTGCAGTCAGGAAATGAACTAATTAGTTCCCATTGTGTCTCCCTACAGTGTGTGTTGTGTACCCTTGAAAGATGGCATAACAGCCATAGAGTGGGTGCCCCTCAGACAGAGACCATTCGGATAGATGCCCGCCTGGCTGCACCCCTTGCAGTGACTTAGGTGTGACTTGGCTAAGGAGAGTGTGAGGCCATATGTCAGTCGCCATGGAACTGCAGGGGGACCCAGGCAGGCACTGCGACCAGCGCTTCCCAGCCTTGGTGCACAGACGAAGCAGCCTGTTGCTTATGCTGCCTGTTCCACTCACCCAGTCATTCAGCAGCACTCAGAGGTTACACATTCCCACCGCCTTTCCCTTGAGAGCGGCTTTAACTAACGAGAGTTGATCAAGCTCTTCTGCCAGAACCGAGCAAGACTGACAGAGTGACTAACTGGGCTGCCCCCAGCGGCCTTACCAGAGTCAGACAGGCAGGCAGCGAGAGAGACAGACAGAGATTGCGTCCTCCTCCCTTTGGGGTCTGATGTGAGCCACTCAAGCAGGGAGCCAGGAATCCTCCTCCAGACCTCCGAGGGGACTCGAGAAATCTCGAGGGCATGCCTTCCCCTCGGGACCTGGAGAGGTCCTTGCTCCGTCCGTGAGGGCCGCAACTGGTGACCAAAGAGGTCGGCATAGTCAGGCTTCCTGGCCGATGCACCAGATGCAATGGCAAGCGGAAACGCCAGGATTTGGAGGCAGATTAGTTTACCTTAAGGGCACTGATCAGGATCATTTCCAGAATATCAGGCCCTGGTCTCAGGTGGTGTAGGGCTTACCCTGCATAAGCCAGCAGGAAGCACAGAGGCAGAATGGCCTGTCAATTGGAGATTGGTTTATACACTGTGCATCATAATGACCAGCTATGTATCACAGTGAACGGCTGCTTCTAAGAGACAGAAGCAACCAGAACTGGAACCGGAATGGCTACCAGCTAAGAAACTGGAGTATACGGGTTAGGGAGGCCGTTTTCTGTTACAGTGGGAAGATCGCCACAAGTCTGACACCCCGAGGTCCTGCACTCGGCTAGGCCCCAGTGTCCTCTCAGACACCCATGCCTCCCCAGAAAGCCTGGCAGGACACATGCGCCCCTCATGTGGGGACCAAGGGTCCTGTGGGTGGCAATACTGTCCTCACCTTTTAGCTTTTCCTCAGTGTCGCTGTCCGACTCGCTGTTCTCATCTGTCACTAGGTGAAATACAAGGAAAGACATTGCAAATGTGAGGGCTGGGGATGTAGCTCAGCGGCGCAGCGCCTGCCTGGCAAACGCAAGGTCCTGAGTTCGATTCCCGGTACCCACACAAAAAAATGCAAGTGTGAGTTCTTCTAACGCAGGAAAAGGGATCCAAAATTTCTAGTGAGGGGGGCGTTTTGCCAGCTCTTCAAAGTAACAGTCAAGGGCTGGGGATTTAGCTCAGCGGCAAAAGCGCCTGTGTGGCAAGCGCAAGGTCGTGAGTTCGGTTCCCGGTACCGGAGAAAAACCAAAAAAAAAAAAAAAAAAAAAAAAAAAGTAACAGTCAAACTCTTGGCCTTGCCTAGAGCAATGGATTTCTAAACTCTAGCTCTAGTTAACGGGCTCCTGGATCAGACCCTGTCAGTTTATTTGAGTGGAGCCAGGGAGGTGACTGCTCAGGCAGGACAAGGTGGGGAGACGCACAGTGTGGGTCTCCTGGGCTCAGGTCCCTGCTCCTTGACCGTCCCGGGGACAGCAGCACCATCGCAGGCCCCGCCATGGTGACCCACCCAGAGCCAGCCAGAAGCGGCTTCTCGGAAGTGCGTCCGGGGCCCTACCTTTCCCTGAGCCGCTCTCCGTGGACTGCGACAGCCTCTTCACCCGCTTCCTCCCTCTCCGGGCCTCATAGATGGCATTGATGCGCAGTACCAGCTGCCAGACACAGCGGAAGAACCAGTGTGCGTGACCCTCCGGGCTGCCACCAGTGTCCCTGGGGTGACAGGGGACGCACTCGGCGCCGCCTCTCTTCGCATCATCCGTCCCGTTCTGCCACCCACACCGCAATGACACAGCCACAGAATGTGCAGCATGCTGTCCCCGGCCCCGCAAAGGCCAAGGCAGCAGCTGAGACACACGCTCCCGGTGTGATGGCAGCTGTCCCTCCCGCTGGCGCTGTGACGTCACTCTGGCTTGGGAAGAAGCTTTTGCTTCCAAAACCAAGAAAAGGAAGAGAGAGGAAAACACAATTCCCAGGCGGGGCCCCTACAGTGGGAACCATTCCAAGCATGCGTGAACGGCTCTGAGAGGGACGGGAACAGGGTCAGAGTGGTTCCCGGTCCCCTGACCACACGGAGTACGTGGGCCCTGGAACACCTGCCCTGTCTGCAGGGACAGCTCACATCCAGCCTCATGGACCTTGTATGTGTTCCCAGAGCAGCACACATGGTGCCAAAGTACACCGGTGGCACACGCCTCTAATTCTAGCACTCAGGAGGCTGAGGCAGGAGGACTGCTGTGAGTTCAAGGCCAGCCTGGGCTACCTAGCAAGACCCTGGCTCAAAAAACCAACAACCAAAAAGCATACTGGGGTTCTCTGTTATGTGCTACTCCGGTTGCAGACCAGCGATAGTGTGGCATCTCTGGGGGCTGCATGTGTGCTCAGCGCATGCCAAGCGTGGGGTTCGGTCCCCAGTACTGCCCCCTTCCAATGGATGGTAACCATTTTCCATGCTCTATGAATATTTTAATGCTTATTATTATTTTTGTTGCTGCTGTTTTTTGAGATAAATTCTCATTATGTGGTACAGGCAGGCCTTGAACTCATTATGCAGCCCAGGCTGGCCTCGAACTCACGGTGATCTTCCTGCCTCAGCTCCCAAGCGCTAGAATTACAGGTGTGTTCTCCCATACCCGGTCCCCTTGTATCCTAAAATCGGGTCTTGCTAAGTCACTCAGTTGCCTAGACTGTGCTCAAATTTGCAGTCCTCCTGCCTCAGCCTGCTGAATGTGGGGATTATATCAGTTCACACAGAATCAACACGCAGTCTGCAGTCTGTGGCAGCGCTCGGTGGTACAGAGCTCAGGTAGAGTGTGCAGGGCCCTGGGTTCTATCCCCAAGATCATAAAAAAATAAACAAAACAAAACAAGAACGTAGCCTGCACCGTTCCCGGGGCAGGGCCAGACAGAACCTAGGAGCCCTCCCAGCCTTCTAGCAACAGAACAGCGAACACTTCCTGTTTCCCACGTAGCCCCAGGGCTGCAGGTCTTCAGCCTCGCCTGGCACCTGCCCTGCCCTTCCCCATGCAGCCCGGCCAAGGAGCTCTGAGTTCGCTTTAACAAGGTGCCGAGGCAGGGCTGTGCCGTGAGGTCCTGGCTCGAAATGGATCGATCACACTGTCAGGAGCAAGCTGCTTATGAAGCTGTCCTTGACTTTCTTTCAGGCGGATGGACAGATGGACGGACGGGCCACTCTGAGCAATGGGACACATCTGCTAGATGGTGTCCCACCCCCGCGCCCCCGAGCTCATCTGTACAACCCTTTACATGCTCTGTGTATAGCAAGGCTCCTGAGGCCCAGGCTGGCCTCCAAACTCTGAGTGATCCTCCTGACTCAGCCTCCCAAGTGCTGGGATTACAGGCATGTGTCACCACATGTGTAAAGCACATTCTTATTCCCAAAAATAGAAGGCTGAGGCTGAGGGAAATCCATACCAACCTAGTCAGACCAGTGCTTGTCATCTAGCTCCCTACTATAAGCGCCATGCTTTTGCAGCTCAGTACACCGGTGCCCGGAGCTAGTGCCTCCCCAGGTCTCACTTCTCCACATAGACATGAGTACAGCCTGTGCTCCTCCTGTGACCCTGCCTCCCATCAGCTTAACCCCAGTGTCCTGCAGACCCAAAAAGGGAGGGGAAAGTCCCCGCACGGGACCAGGGGGTCAGTGAGACAGCATTGTGGGGGGACACCAGAGAAAGCAGGAAAGTGGGATCCACAGACACACAGGAGGTTAGGCCAGGCTTCGGCCTTTCACCCTGGGGACAGCAGAGCATCAGATGCCCTCTGATGACAGCTGCCTCCCAATACACCCTGGCGCCATCCCGGCAAGGTCAGGCCAGGGTGGATGTGGGGCTGGTTTTGAAGATAAGGAGACAGCCCTGGGAGCACTATCTGAAGCTGGGCGTGGTGGCGTATATCTGTAATCCCAGTACTTGGGAAGCTGAGGCAGGAGGATCGCTGAAAGCTAGAGGCTAACATGGGCTACACAGTGAGTTCCGGGACAGCCTCAACTGCAGAGTGAGACTCTATCTCAAAAAAAGAAAAGATTGTCTTCCGGTATCAGAAGAGCTGTTGAGGCAGGGAGACGGATGGCTGAGAGGAAGGCCACCGGACGGAAATAATGACCAGGACAGAGGCCGGGGTGTCCCAGCCTGCTGGCTTCTTGCGTCTGCCTGGCCTTCCGGGACATAAGGAGCTCAGGACCAGAACGAGGGTCCCACCTGGCGTCCTCTGCAGAAAAAGGCAGCACGCCGAACAGGAAGTTCACAGTGAGGGTTACCTTGGGGATCTTTCTCTTCCGCCTTCCATTCTGCAGGTCTCCAAGGTTAAAGGTGGTGTCATCGGGGCTGCTGGGTGTCGAGGGTGGGCTGGTTTTGGGAGGGGACCCTGCTCCGTCCCGACTCAGCTTCCTCACGTCCAGCAGTCTGAAGTTCCTCCTCTCTGAATTCTGCCGGAAAAAGGCAGGTTTGGACAATGACTGCTGTGTGAGAGAAGAGAAGGCAGAGTGATCAATAAGAGGACGGACTGCAGACAGCTGGAGGAGCTGGTGATGGAGACCCTGGGTCCAGGCAGGTACTGGAGCGTAAGGATGGAGACAAGCACCCAGCCCGGCTCAATCTGACTTTACAGATGAGTCTTGTGTGTTTTGTTTTGTTTTGTTTTTGGCTGTACTGGGGAGTGACCCCAGGTGTTTGCTGCCACTGAGCAGCAAACATCTTTTATTTTACTTTGTTTTGTTTTTTGAGACAAGGTCTCATTGTGTAGCCCAGGCTGACCTTGAATTCACAGCAACCCTCCTGCCTCAGCCTCCCGAGTTCAGGGTTATAGTTGGGTGCCACCACACCCAGCCCAGACGGGACTTTCTGACAATCCAAGAGATATATACTGGGAGATATAGAGCTGAGGATGGCTATAGCCCAGTGCTGCTCTGTGACCACTCAGCGACCCCCGTTCACTGGATTCAGTTAATTACCCAGTGAAATGAATAAATGCCTGGGGAAATGGGAGTGACCGGTTAAATATAAGATCCCAGAACACACCGCAGAGCTGTTCCCATAGCCCTGCATGTGGACTTCTCGTGAGAACTCAGAGCAGGTTTCCACGCGATGAGCTAGACTAAGCAGTCAGCCTGAGGGGTGGGATCCCAGCGCCGCCTCTCAGGACCCGTATCTACAAGTTCTCGCGGTTTTCCTCGAGATTTGGACTGCAGAAAAGACACAGGCGCCAGGAAGGACCTGCTATCCTGCCTTTCCTGGCAATAGTGCCTTTGCTTCCTGCGGGTACCCTTTCACTGCTTCTTCCTCTCACTCAGTCCAGGCTCAGTCTGCAGAGCCAGCTTCCCCTTCACTCTTCACTCTTCACTTTTACTTTTCAAGTAAACTTCGCAGCTTTTTTTTTTTTTTTTTGCTTGCTTCATTCAGTTCTTTGCTCAAGATGGGGAGAACCTGGAATCGGAACCCATCCTTGCGCAGGGGCCATGCTAATCTCTGTCTCGTTCCAATTCTGGTATATGTGCTGCCGAAGCCAGCTTTGGAATCTTAATCCAGAAGGAGAGGCGAGCCCGGAAATGTTCATTTGGTGAGCCAGAAGCAGCCACCTAATAACCCCAGGGCCTTGTGTGTGTTAAGCACACACGCTACTATTGAGCCACACCTGCATCTCTAGTATCTTATTTCCAAAACAAATTTTTTAAAAACAAAAAGTCAAAACTGGGCATGGTGGCACATGTCTATAATCCTATCATTCGGAAAGCTGAGGCAGGAGGATTGCTGTGAGTTTGAGGCCAGCCTGGGCTACATCGAGAGACCCTGTCCCCCCCAAAAAACAAAAAGAAAAGTCAAATGAAAAACCTGTTCGGAAATTCAGGGGCTGGCAGCAGAGCATTTGCCTAACATGCATGACGCCCTGGATTCAAATCCCAGCACAGCAAACAGAAAAATTTACAATTCAATGCAGGGCTCATTTTCCTGATATTACAACAAATTAATGAGAAAAAGATTAACAAGTAAAAAAAAAAAACAGGCAAAGAATGGTAAGTTTATAGAAAAGGAAATACAGTTTCTTAGATATATGAAGAGATTCACAGTTTCACCTATAAAACTAAAACTCTGGGGGCTGGGGATTTAGCTCAGCGGCAAAAGCACCTGCCTGGCAAGCGCAAGGTCGTGAGTTCGGTTCCTGGTACCGGAGAAAAACAAAAACAAAACAAAACAAAAAAACAAAACAAAAAACTAAAACTCTGTTGAAGAAACACTTTACACTCAGATTAGCAAAGGTTTAAAAAAAAAAAAAAAGATAATTTAAAACAAGTGTTTTGGCCCATGCCTGTAATCCCAATACTTGGGAGGCTGAGGCAGGAGGACTGCTGTGAGTTCAAGGCCAGCCTGGATTACACAGTGAGTTCAAAGCTAGTCTGAACTACATACTACATACTATAGTGAAACCCTGTTTTAAATCTCCCCACAAAAAAAAAAAAAAAAAAAAAACCACCAAAACAAGAAAAAGCAAGAAGGCAAACAAACACAAACCTACAACATGATAACTAGGACATACCTATAATCCTAGTATCAAGAGCTTAAGGCAGGAAGATTGCAAGTTTAAGGCTTGCTTGACAAGTTAGCAAGTTAGACAAGTTACCTTGTCTCAAAATTTAAAAATCAAAAGAGCTGGGAGCTGGGCATGGTGGCGCACACCTGTAATCCCAGCACTAAGGGGGCTGAGGCAGGAAGATCCTTGAGAGTTCAAGACCAGCCTGGGCTACAAAGTGAGCTCAAGGCCAGCTTGAACTACATACTGTGACTCTGTCTCAAAAAAGACAACAACAACAACAACAAAAGCTGGGAATGTAGTTCAGTGACAGAAAGGCCCTGAGTTCTGTCCCCAGTGCTGAAAAAAAAAATTTGATTAAGTCACTTCCAAAACTATGAGAAAATCGATTTCTGTCATTTAAGGTGCCCTCCCCCCCAATATGATAACTCCCTGTATTGGTAAAAGGCAGGGAAAAAGTCACTTTCACACAGTGCTGGTGGGAGTATAAACTGGTCCAACTCCATGGAGCACCTAGGGATATTAACAAAACGATGAAGCATGTGCCCTTTGACCCCTTGAGGAATCCCCTCCTCATACACACATGCTTGTGCCAGGTACAGGTTATATTGTATGGAGTATACAGCACTGTGGCATGATTTGTAATCACAAAGTATTAGAAATAATATAAATGTCTATCAACAGAGGCTGGCCAAAAAAATTATAGCACACATTGTAGATTGCTATGCCAGCAAGGATCAGATTTTTTTGTGTGTTCTACTAAGGAAAGTGCTGGGATGTAGCTCAGTGGCACAAGCATCTGCCTGGCAAGCGCAAGGTCCTGAGTTCGATTCCTGGTACCAAAAAAGAAAAAAAAAGATTGGGACATCACTACTAAGGAAGGTTCTGTCAAATATATGTTATTATGCATAAAAGGCAAAACATAAAATAGTACAGTATGCTAATTTTTGTGTCAGTGTGTCGTAAGGTACAAAACTATTGGTATATGTGTAGAATAATTTTGGAAGAATAGCTCTGTATAGATCAAGACATTGACTCAGCATAGTTGCTCTAGAAGAGAGAAAAGAGGGACAAAGGCAAGAGAAAAATTTTCATTGTCTACTTTGTTTTTTTTTGGTTTTTCTCCGGTACCGGGAACCGAACTCACGACCTTGCACTTGCCAGGCAGGCACTTTGCCGCTGAGCTAAATCCCCAGCCCCTTCATTGTCTACTTTTTATACTGCTTGAAGTATGATCCATGTGAATCTATTTCTTATCCATTACCATAAGGAATTATAGCCAGGCATGGTGGCGCTTGCCTGTAATCCCAGCATTCTTCAGGCTGAGGCTGGAGGACTGGAATTAAAGCTCAGCCTAGGCCACTTTAGTGACTTGTTGAGAACTTGTTTCAAAATGAAGAAGGAGCTGGGGACATAGCACAGTGCAAAGGCCCAGTTTCACTCCCCAGCCCTGTGCAAATCACCAGTAATATATCACAGAAGCAGAAAAACCCCGTGACAAAATCCAACACCCACTCGTGATATAGCCTTGAAGAAAAGAGGTGTAGAAAGACCTTCTCTCACTCTGGTAAAAGCCACTTACGGCACCCTTCCTGCTAAGATCATATGAGATGGGGAAAACTCAAAGCATTTCCTCTGAAATCAAGAACAGCACAAGGATGCCCACTTTTACCACTCCTCTTTGGCACAGTACTTGGAAGTTTAGCCACAGTGATCAGGCAAACAAAGAAGTAAAAGGAACACACAGGAAACGAAGGCAAACTGTATTTGCAGATGCCGTGACTCCCAGAGGTAAGAAACACATTCACCAAAGGAGCAGGATACAAAATTAAATAAAAATCAGTAGCATGCCTTTACACCAACAAACAAGAAACCCACTGAGAAAGAAATCAGGGAAACAATCCCACTCACAATAGCTTCAAGGAATTACCTGGGAATTACCCTCACCAAGGAAATGAAAAACCTCTACAGTCTTCTGAAAAGCAAGATTGAAGAGAACATCAAAAATGGAAAGACACCCCGTGTTCCTGGATAGGCAGAACCAATACTGTCAAAAAGGTCACAGTACCAACAGTGATTCTGCGTTCTTCACAGAACTAGAAAAAAAAAAAAAAAAAACCCTAAAATTTTTATGGAATGGGAAGAGACCTAGAATAGCAAATGCAATCCTGGGCAACTAAAGCAAAGCAAGAGGCACCACTATTCCAGATTTCAAGTTAAAGCACAAAGGGACGGTGATTAAAAACAGCAGAAAAATAAACATGGTAAACAGTGGAACAGAACTGAGGACACAGAAACAACTCCCCACACCTTCGGGCTTCTGGTCTCCAACAAAAGGGCCCAAAACATACGCTGGAGAAAAGACAGCATCTTTAACAAATGCTGCTGGGAAAACTGGTTATCCTCAAGCAGAAGACTGTCTAGAACTGGGCGTGCTAGTGCACGCCTATAATCTCAGCACTCAGGAGGCTGAGGCAGGAGGATCACTGCAAGTTCCAGACCAGCCTGGGCTACAAAGTGAGTTCAAGGCCAGCCTGAACTGCATAGAGAGACCCTGTCTCAAAGAGACCAAGAAAAAAACTTCCTAAAAGAAAAGACTCAGTCAGAAAAATGACAATGGAAATGAATAGACACTTCTCAAAAGAAGTACAAATGGCCAGTGGCTACATGAAAAAGGGCTAGGCGTCTTTGGCTGGTAGAGAAACGCAAATCAAAGCCACACTGAGATTTCATTTTTCTAGAGGAAAGAATGGCTATCCCCCAAAAACCAAAGAACAACAGATGCTGGCTAGGATGCGCAGAAAAGGAGCTCTTCTACTTGGCTAGCACCGGTGTAAACTGGTGTCATCAGTATGGAGGTTCCTCAGAAGACTAAAAGTAGAAACTCCTCTTGACCCAGCTATACTTCTTCCAGGTGTCCTACTGAAATTTTTT